ATCAGATTAACATGTGTATTAACAAACATGCCATATTGGCTCAGTTTATTTTTCTTATCATTATTGTGAGGAGACCATAAATAGCATTTGCATTTTCTGTTGTACAGTCATTTGCTGTTATGGAGTTCTTGTTATGGATAAAAAGTGTTTTTTTTTGTTTCAAAATAGCTGATAACTATTCGCTGATAGCTGCCAACATCTGCGAACAAATATAATTCTATAAAGGGGCTCTATATAGTGTGTCACTCTTAATATAGAGCGTTATTAAATTTATTGCTAATGCAGTCTGGCACACTGACTTCTGAGTTTAAGCTTTTAGATGGCAGTTGTCATCAGAAAGGTTGCCTACCCCTGCTCTAAATCATAGGTGTCAAACTCTGGCCCAGCGTAATTATATTTAGCCCGCAAAGTCATACCAAATTACTATTAGAGCTGGCCCGCCGGTATTATATAGTACATGTACTGCTAATACTACAAATCCCAGAATGCTCTGTTGGTGTTTTGGCACGTCAATCACTACAGGACCCATTACCACCCTCTCCTCTGTTGATCGTAGTCATAGCGACCGTATGCTAATACTTGCACCGTGCTACCCCTTCCAAAATGGCAAAAACAAAGGCAGAAAACAGGAGCTTTCTGGACAGGTGGGAGACAGAATATCTGTTTACCTATGTAAAAGACAGACCTGTTTGTCTTGTATGTGGAGCTAATGTGGCTATAACCAAGGAGTACAACATTAATTGTAACTGAAACGAAGCACCAAGACAAGTACAAGGAGCTGGACCCAGACATTGAGGAACTAGCATCCAAGTTGAGATGCCAGGTATCTGGTCATCAGAATAGATCAGTGTGTAGCAAACTGAACTATAATTAATGTTTTCTTTGTGCACTTTTTCTTGCTGCTTCCAGACATCGGCTTGAACTGTTTCACGTTCATTGATATTTTTATTAGTTGAATATATTTTTATTAGTTAACTGGTTTACTATTCCATTGATGTGTTTTTAATTGGAATTTTGATTTTGCATGTATGCAATATTAGTTATGTATAAGTTATATATCGTTTAGTATTACGCTTTGCTTGTTCCATATTCTGTGTTTAAGCAAAGCATGTTTGGGTCCATAAGAAAAGGTTCATTTTTATAACTGGAGGAAGATTTTTTTCAATAAATATCAATGTCAGCCCACGACTGTCCACATCACTCAGGACCTGTCATGGTCCTGTCACATCAACACCCTGGTTAAGAAAGCCCGTCAGCGTCTCTTCTTCCTCAGAAGACTTAGAGACTTCCATCTGCCACTGAAGGTGCTCAAGAACTTCTACTCCTGCACCATCGAGAGCGTCCTGACGGCAAACATCTGCACCTGGTTTGGGAACAGCA